GATAGATAGATAGAGAGAGAGAGAGAGAGAGAGAGAGAGAGAGAGAGAGAGAGAGAGAGAGAACATTCACGTGAGCAGGAAATCCAGGAACTACTTTCCCACCCTTTGAACCTCCATGGGCCATACATCCAAATCAGAAGGGATTGGAAAATATTAATTCCCCCCTCCCACCACAAAAATCTGCAGGAACCTCCTCTACGAAGGTGGTTTCCCCCCCAAAACCTCCCTATTTGGCCCCCCTGGGGTTGCTGGAAGAGGTTTCTTACTCCCCACCAATCCAACCCCGGGGACCAATTCTTTGCCGACAGAGATATGTAACGACAGCCACGTACCCGGCAAACAGAGTCCTACCAGAGTCAGGGGGTTCGAGATCCAAAGCCGACCTCCAAGAACCAGCCAAAGGTCGAGCCAGGCCGGGAGCCATATCGAGCAAACAGGGAGAGACCGGGAGCCCAGCCATGCCATCCCAAACGTTCAGACACAGGCAAAGGAGTCCTCTGGTCGGGTCACAGAGCCACCTTGGCCTGGGGAGGCTCAGCCTCTTCACATGGCAGAGGGAGACCCAGAGAGGCCACCGCCGAGGGCTCTAGAGTAGAGCAGCGGTTCCCAAGCTTGGCTCCCCCAGGTGTTCTTGGACGGCCACTCCCAGAAACTCCAACCCAGGTGGTGGAGGCTTCTGGGAATCGTAGTGGCCACTCCCAGAAACTCCAACCAGGTGGTGGAGGCTTCTGGGAATCGTAGTCCAAAGACATCCGGGTTACCCGAGGCTGGGAGCCACCGCTCTAGAGCTTAAGAGAGCATCTGGCAGTCCTCCCTCACATTGGTTTGGCTCTGACTTGTCCTCACTGGAAGACTTACCTGGTGTGGCCGTGGGAGAAATCTTCACCTGTTAGCCAATTATTTAAAAATTGCAAAAATAATTGTGGGATGGCGGGTTCTGGAGCCACCTCAAGCCACAGAGAGCGGCATATGGCCTTTAGGTTCACAGTTCATGTTCCTAGTGTAAATATAGGGTCACACAGACACACACACACACACACACACCTTTCTACAGGATCCCTCTGAAGGGAGGCTGAGAGACCCATTTGCTCTTTGCTCAAAAAGGCACAGCGAGCAGCATATGGCCTTTAGGTTCACAGTTCATACTCCTAGTGTAAATATAGGGTCTCTCTCTCTCTCTCTCTCTCTCACACACACACACACACACACACACACAGAGCTTTCTACAGGATCCCTCTGAAGGGAGGCCGAGAGACCCATTTGCTCTTTGCTCAAAAAGGAGGTGCATTATAGCCACAGCGGTGCCAATGCTAATAGCGCTGAAATGATTCGCTCTGTCAGAATGGCAAATTTCCACTTCAAAACATCCACTCAGAATTGAAATTTCATGTCAGAAATTGACATTTCACCCTACGGTGAAGAACGTTTTAAGTTGGGAACTCCAATTTGCAAGGGAGAATATATGGAGCCCAGCGGTCAGCGGCTGACTCAGAAATAAATATGTTTTCCTGACAGGAAAAAATAAAAATATTTTATCTAAACCACGGAGCTATTTGAAAAGAGCAAAGAGGGGTGGAAGCTAGACTCACCATTTTCTCTTTTTAATCCTTACCAAGAAAAACCCAAACTGACTCTTCCCACTGTTTTCACTCGGTCCTGAACTCTTTGTGGTCTTCTGAAGGCACAAATTTCGGGGCCTTGAAGCAGAATCCCTTGTCCTGAACGCTGGGCTTGCATAATGATCTCATCTGGACTGCAGGCACTCAGAAGGGCATCACCAAGCTAGCTAGCTTTAGGCAAGTGCAGGATAGGATCCACCTTCAATGCCACCTTCAGGTCCCTGCAAAAAAAATGTATTTTCTCCATTTTAATCTGGAGGCGTGGTGTGGAGCTTTTTCCGCAAGGTTTAGAATGACACCTTTTAAAAGGAACTCGTTGCTATCAATTTGCAGGCTCCAGTTATTGTTCCCACTGGCCCCAGTATCTTAAGTAATCTGCTACATGGTGTGCTTTTAACCCCACGCAGCACTGTTACCAGCAGACCGCCCCCCCAAAAAAAAATACAGGGGAGAAGATGCTCTCTGGTTCCCTCTAGTGTCCACATTTGATATTGCACCTTGTGTCTTCTGTGCTATTCAGTCAGAACACAGGACTTTCAAGGCAAGAGGTATATTTAAGGAGTGGTTTTACCAGTTCCGCTCCCCCAGGGGGTTTCCGTGGCTGAGCAGGGTTTTGATCCCTGGTGTCCAGAGTCCTGGTCCGTCACTTTATCTATGACACCACACTGGGTGCCTTTCCGTGGGGAAAGGGAAAGTTACAATAAGCCACGAAGGCGACGATGCATTACTTCTCCCCATTACAGGAGACTCCTTTTCGAAGCACAACGGCATGAAGTTCACCACGAAAGACCTGGACAACGACCACTCGGAGAACAACTGCGCCGCCTTCTACCACGGCGCCTGGTGGTACCGCAACTGCCACACCTCCAACCTGAACGGGCAGTACCTGAAGGGCCACCACAGCTCCTACGCGGACGGCATCGAGTGGTCTTCGTGGACAGGCTGGCAATATTCCCTCAAATTCACGGAGATGAAGATTCGGCCTGTCAGAGATGAAAATTAGCTAAGTCCCACCACCCGTCCTCGTCTTTCTCCTTCCTTCTTTCCTTCCTACCACCTGCCCCCAAAGCTCAGTGTTGGCTTGTCTGAGTCTGGGGCCACCAGAGCCGAAAAGGCCTCTTCCTGGCAATGACGTCCTAATACTTCCAGAAGCTCCTCCTACGCGTACAATTGTTTTTTTGGATGAGGCTAGACCCATTCCCCCAAATGTCCCCAAAAGATGCTCTTTTAAGCCAGTTGTTGTCCGCATAAAACACACACACATATACACACAGGGGAACAGATAAGGAGCCCTCCTATGTGTTATGGGGTCTGACTTAAATCCATTTTCCCCGACCCTACTGTTTGGTTATTATTATTTTTTACACAACAAGGCACTTTGATATCCAAAGACGTTTTCCCGGCAATGTGAGTGTGTTTATGTGCGTCATTTTGATCCAAGCCTACGTCAGACCGTTTACACCCTACTTTCTGGTAGTAAGAGTCATGTTATTATTTATAGCGAAACCCTGATCTCCAGCCAAGGACTCCGCAGAATAAGCAGTTCCTTGGAGATGGAAGAAGACCTGATGTCGGCGCTCAGAAGGCCTCCAGAATGGCCATGTTTTGAAACCATGCCCAGGGCGAAATTCCTGCAGGGAAATCACCCAGCACCAATTAATATGAGGCCACTGGCACTATGTAGTGAAAGCTTGCCTGCATGTGGGAAATGTTCTGGGCGTTACAAAGGTGGGTGTCTTAAAAAGGACACGGGAAGAAGAATGGGATGACCAGACCGAAGACAAGAGATCTTCGAGAGAAACCAATATGACAGTCTTGGGCTACCATTACAAGAGGAAAATGTATCTTATGAGCTTGTGAGTCTTCTCCCAGATGAACTGCCCCACATATGTGGATCCACCTAGAGAAGACAGGAATGGTGATACTCCGTGATGCAATGTTTTTAAAAAATAAGACTGTGGCTACCACCAAGCCGTTGGTCCCAGGGCAGAGTCAATCCACGCCGATGAATTCGGTAAAATCCCAAACCTACTTCCCTTCCAAAAAAAATCCTCCTACTATCTCACATTTCCACAGCTAGTTCAGCCATGATGAAAATCCACCTCTGCTCCAGTGGTTGACTCCTGTAACGCCAAATAGTCTCCACTGGGCAACTAGAATTTTTGACCATTAAGGCTTTGCCTTCTTGCTTTGATGTAAGTGGCCTCCGCTGGATTGATATACATGGCTTGTGTGCCCTGTTTTAATGGATCAGGACTTTCTGCCCGACGCAGGTTCACACACACACACAGCTTACACAAGAAATGGAGAAAGCGAACAGCATGTACCCATGGCAAGCTAAACATGGATTCCTGCTGTGTGGAAGAGCACATGCCGTACACACTTAATCTCACAGTCACTAGCAGGCATGGGGATTCAAGTCCCTAAAAACTAGGAACTTGGGAGCAAAGACTCGAGACTCGGACCCAAAAGATTTGCCAGCATCCCTGGCTGTTGCTAGCAGAACAAGAGAAAATGCTTTTCTCCCACAATTTTTAGTTGTCCATATAAGTACATCAGATTTGGCCAGATGCAGTGGAATCCGGCTTATTAGACAAAATGGGTTGTTGCCATCCTTCACAGCGGTGGCGGCTGACTCCCATTCCAGGGGAGCTGGGGATCCATTCTAAGCCTTGCCCGTATGTTACAGGAGCCATCCACGGTGCTGAAGCCTCTCCCTCCAATATTCTGGATCCCTCACATAAAAGTACAGAGTAAAATCTGAACTGGATTCTCAGAAGCCCTGAAATGGGAGTGAACTCCACACCTGTGGCTAGAGAGGGCGGTGGCGGTGGAGGTCCCGTTTTGCTCCCTAGTGATACAACCAGAAATGATAATGGAAAAAGCCTCCTGAAGCAATGGAAGAGACTGTTTTTTTTCCAATACAGACAGATGTTTTCAAAGCAGCAGCTATGCTGGTCTATTTCAGCAGGTAATAGCTGAAATAAACCAATGTGGGAGGAAAAAAAAGTGTAGGAATCCCATAAAGACTAACCACTTTATTACAGTGTCAGCTTTCATGGATTTTGCTGATGTGTCTAAGCAAACTGATTATAATCTACAGCAACTCATGTGGAAATAAAGCTGTTAGTCTTTAAGGGGCCACAATATTTGTGCATTTACTATTTTTTTGTTTTCATTGTGCATCTTAAATGCTAAACATCAAGAAGGGCAGTGCTGTCTTACCGCATAGGGCAATCCAAAAAAATGAAACCATAGTCAATTGGCTTCATTCATGATGGACTCTGGCTTTCCTTTCCAAACCAAGTTGAGTCCTTTGTAAGGAGAAAGGCGGGACAGAAATATTTTAAATAAATAAATATCTATGGGTCATCCTGCCTGATCCATTCCAACAGGCAACCTCCAGAAGTTTGAGGACCACATAACTGGACGCCAGAGGACCACGCTGATCCTGCCTTTTGGGCACCCCAACTCTTTTTTTTTAAAGAGTTATCCCAGCTTTTAAAAGGTCCATCGTGCCTCCTGGTGGCCAAAGTGTGTTTTTTTTTTTAATTATCAACCTAGAGTTGAGGTGCCTAGGATCCAGACAAGTTGGAAGCATGGCAATATGGCTTCTCACACCCTCCAGAGAGCACAAGGGGAATCTTTGAAGTCAAAACAGGAAGACATTTGGGGGGGATGTGTAAGGGTCTGGAGACCCATTGGGGACCCCAGAAGGCCATAGATAGTTGACCGACCACACCTGATGCAACCTTGTGCCTCGGTCTAATCATAGGCAGCTTTGTCTGTCATAAATGTGAACATACTGTGCCTCTGGGAAATTTGGCACATCCGAAGCAGTTCTAAGCTGCTAACTCTGGTTAGTATCTTCTTCCTGAAGCCCCAGATTCAGTCACGATGGAGCTCTGAGGAGATTTACCAGGGGCACTGGAAGTTAACACATCCACTTTCTTTTTCCTGCACAGAAGATGCATTGGCTGTCAAGCCAACTCACCGCTCTGGAATTTGTGTTTTCCTCTTTGCCATTTCCAGTTGTGTTGAGACCACACTGCCTTTTGAGAACACACTGCACTTGGGACTTTTCCCTAGCCAATCGACCCCCCCCCCCGAGGAATACTAGGGTTGCCACAACATTTGGGGGAATGACCTTAAACATCGCGAAGACTCTGCAATGTTCCAGAAAGTGCCCCCTGCTTCTAGGAGGCCATTTTGTGATGAGGCACAGATGGCTTCTCCAACCCTCGCCAAGGAATAATGGAAGATTTCAGACCCATGAGATGGAGCACCCGCCTGCGCCAGTTTGGGTGATTTCACCATGATTGCAAAGTCGTCGGAGCAAGAGCCGTGAAGACTCTGCAATGTTCCAGAAAGTGCTTCTAGGAGGCCGCTTTGTGACGAGGCACAGATGGCTTCTCCAACCCTCGCCAAGGAATAATGGAAGATTTCAGACCCATGAGATGGAGCACCAGCCTGTGCCAGTTTGGGTGATTTCACCATGATTGCAAAGTCGTCGGAGCAAGAGAAAGCTCACAACTCTTAGCAGCCAACCGAGAGGGTCTGATTTTTAGTATTTTCCAGGCAAATAAAGAATAAAGGCACCGAGGCTACCATTTTGTTAATCCGGTTAGAGAAAGAGTAGCGTCTTTTAGCTGCGACCTTCTCCGGAGGCTCTCTTCTTCCAAGGATGTCTGTCCCTTCGCCATAAAGTCATTTCCAGCACAAAGGAGCCGGGCACCTTAAAAAAAAACTCTTTGAGCCGCTTCGTTCTCCGACTCGCACGAAGGCCTCGCAGAAGCAATCAGACGGGACTTCTTATTTCGGGGCCGCCGTGATCACTTCAAGAATTGTTCCTTCTTGTTTGTGCAGATGCTGCAGCACGCAGGCCTGAAAGGGTGGCAGAGCAGAGAGCAGCTTTGAGGATCTGCCTTCTCGCGCTCGCTCTCTCAGGACCCACTTGGGCTGCTGCAGGCGGAGAACAGGGTTGCCAAAGAGACTTTAAGCAAATGCCGCTCCCCGCCTCCAATCTGTGGTGCTCAAAGTGACTGCAGGTTCTCCTGTCTCTCTGCCAGAGAGCCAGTTAGCAGACCAAGCTGTTCTCCGTCAAGCCCAGATGTTCAGAAATGGGAGGTTTGCCCAGGATGGATGCGACCAAGTTCCTCCTGATGCTTAGGGGGAAAATCTGGCTTTGATTTGGTGGGGAAAATTTTGGCAGGTAAATGCCAAGGGGAATTGCAGAGGGGGGGGAGTCATATACGGTAGTTGCTACAAGGCTAATTAATTTTATTTATAACATTTCATGTACCCATGCATACAAAAGACGAATGGGGTGGCCGTGTCTTGAGGAGAGAGGGATTCAAGCTGTTTGCAGCGAAGAACTGTCCATAACACTTGCAAGTTTCAAACAGTTCTCCTTGCTAACGGTTTAAAAGTATATCTTTGACAGGCAACAGAGAATTAGTAATCCTATCACAATAGCGGTGACTGGGGTCTTACTGGACGACAAAGATTCAGATGGTTAGATCATTAGATCAATAACGGCAGAGGAAACTATTGTCTTTGTTTAAGCCTACAGAGTGTGTCCTGAACTTCCTGATATATTCCTACTCAGCCGCTGCCCTTTGGAATCTGACCCTGAATCTTTTTTTTTTTCCCAAGTACTGCGACTCTCGAGTGCTCAAGCTCACCAACCAAACAAGTGTCAGCACCAGTCTACCCATGTTCACTCTTGTGTCACGCTAGGGATGGATGCTTGGATAGTCTATCCTTTCCCCCACCAAATGAAGAACATTGGCCAAAAATTCATTTTTGCCTCAAGCTTGATCTAGGACCCACTTGTTCGTTTGAAGAACATTGGCCAAAATTTCATTTTTTGCCTCCACGGAGAGTTCAAGCTTGATCTAGGACCCACTTGTTCGTCTTTCTAGCAATCCAGGATATCTGCAAAGCTCTCCTCCAGCACCACATTTCAATCTTATTTTTTTCCCTGTCAGTGTGCTTAACTGCCCAGCTTTCACACTCATACAGTTTTCCTGTCAGTGAGCTTAACTGCCCAGCTTTCACACTCATACATGGTGATTGGAAATACAAGAGTATACAAGAGGCATTTGCGGGTGAACCCCAAATCACGACTATGTGACACCACGCAGCTCTATTGACTCCTTAACTAGCAGCAATTCATTGCCAGGATCCACATTGTCATCTGCACACCAGTGGGCATAAATAATGAGACTTTGGACCTACAGCTTGATACTGGATAGCTCAGTAGTTTAAGCCTACAGAGCCAGAGGTTGGGAGCTCGATTCTCCCACGGTGCTTCCTTGACAGGGGCTGGACTTTATGATCTATGGGATCCCTTCCAGCTCTACAGTTCTAAGATTATGATTATTATATTATTATTTCATGAAAGATTATCTGGAAAAATCCCTGGATGTTCTTCCCACACCAAAAATATGCTGTCACATAAATATGCTGTTTCCCCTTCTACTAAGTCTGCTTGAAAAATGTCTTGATATATTGAACTGAACTTAAAATATTTTATTTGAATCTTTATGCGTGCATCCTCTTTAGCACCTTTCCCCCCCGAAGTGATGAGATATGGAGGAGGTCACATGGGATGATGGAGTTGAAAGAAAATAATTATGTTTCCATGTTGTACTTCAGACAGACACTGGACTGGCCCTACTCTTCCCTTGCCATGACGGAGGGTTCAGCTGCTGGTCGGGAGGAAGAGAAGGGACCACTTTTTCCTCAGACGGCAAAAAGTCTTAAAAGGCATTGGAGGGCCGTCATGGCACAAGGTATTCCTCTCCTCCCATAAGAAGAAAAGAAATGCACCTAGCAAGGAAGGCGACGTATTTAGAAACAAAAGAGAAAATAAAATAAAGGTGGTGGTTTATCTTCATTTCCCAGCTGGGGAACACAGAGGATTGGATCGAAGCATTCCTCAAATCCCAGCCTTCTTTCATCTCCTTTAATTAACCAATTTGACTCAACACTCGCGCTCAAAACAGTGCAATCATCGGAAGGCAGAAGACGTCCACCTTCTGTCTTGGAAATCCAGGTTTTTCTTATTTTACAGGTGCCGTTGCTGAAGGATCTCAGCTTTTCTGATCCCGAACTGGTGCCAGATCTCGTAGCACATGCTTTTCCCCCAGAGAGAGATGGTTGATGGAGACTAAAACTCCCAAGAATAATTAGAATATTAGTGTTTCGTTATGTTATATATCCTATTGTGCAGTGTTTGCCTTTGTGATGGAAAAAGAACTCAGGGCAAGTCTATTTAGCTGGGACAACAGAAGTGTCTTATAGCAGTTGAGAAGGTTATATGGTTGTTTCTACATTTTCTTTCTTTACTCTCTTTTTTTGCTCTTTTTGTAGCTTCCTTTCTCTCTTTCCACGAATCTCAGATTCCTTTGGTAGGCACCTAACAGAAGCAGAAGACAATGTGGTGCTGGAGGAGACTCTTGAGTTTCCCCTGTACTGCAAGGAAAACAAACCTATCCGTTCTGAAGGAAATGCACCCTGAGTGGTCCCTGGAAGGACAGATCCTGAAGCTGAGGCTCCAATACTTTGGCCATCTCATAAGAGAAGACTCCCTGGAAAAGACCCTGATGTTGGGAAAGTGTGAAGGCAAGAGGAGAAGGCGACGACAGAGGATGAGATGGATGGACAGGGTCATCGAAGCGACCAACATGAGTTTGACCCAACTCCAAGAGGCAGTGGAAGACAGGAGGGCCTGGCGGGCTCTGGGTCCATGGGGTCACGAAGAATCGGACACGACTTAATGACTAAATAACAACTGATTCCTTTCTTCCTCCATCAGGCCAAACAAACAGGAAGGAAGACAATGAGATGGTTAACCACGAAACTTTGGTTTCCTCACTTCATCCTGGAAGGCTTAACTTAATGTGGCTAAAGAATAATTCCCCACAGGTTGCTGGATTCCAGCTCCTAGCAGCCCCACCTATCGTGGTCAGCATCCGGCGTTAATGGGAACTGTACTCCAATAGCATCAGGAGGAATTAATTCCATGAAATGGGGGAACAAGCAAGTCCAGGCATGCAGGGTGTGGAAAGAAGCACCTCCAAGACAGCTTGTGCTCTTTCCTGACGAAAACTTGTCTGGTACAATACAGAGATAGGCAAGATGTGGCAGAAGTTTCTTTGAAAATGGTAGGAGAGATGCAGAACAAAAGCGACCCATTTAAGATGGCGCAGAAGAGAACATGCAAGGTGGTTGCATAATGGAACGCATCAGAAAGATTTTCCAGTCCAGGGAAACTTGATGCTGTTGAAGCTCCAGTGAAATCAAAGGGAGCTATTACTTGAAATTAATGAAAGTTCTGTCTCTTGTAATGGGACTTAAGAGCAGCTAATTTTCTCTCCAATCAGACCTTTTGGTAATTTCCTCCCTTTAGAGATTTTCAAGGCAAGGTTCGGCAGAGTCCTGCGAGCCGTGCTTTAAGTCAGGGAGAAGCAGCCATGACGTTTCCGACGGGACTGGAAGGCTACTTGCATTTTTCCAGAGAAAATAGTTTGGGGATCAAAATAAGACAGAGCGTGTTTGGTCTGGTCATGAATCGTGCCCCCCTGAGGAGTTTCAGATGAGCAATTCTGTGTTGTTGTTTTCACAGAAGGACTTGGGGGAGTCAGAGGAGGTTGACTACAGCATTCAAGAATGGGAGAGGATTTTCTGAGAGACACAACCTGTGCAGTGCCTACATGAGACAGAGACCACCAGTCCCATAGCCCCTTTCAGCTCCCATGCACCTTAACCTCTCTGAGCCACTTCCTTTTTATTCATGGCCAATAAGGGAGGTTGATAAGGAGGTTCTCCAACACCTTCACCTGTGAGTAATTGAAAACATCTGAGGAAATGAGTTCCTATCTCCCATTCTGGTCAGATGGGAGGTTTCTGGTGAATTTGGGGGGGGGGGGTTTACAGTGCAAAAAGAAAATAATCCCGTGTCTAGTGTAGAGAGAACGAATGACAGTACTCACTAGCAGAGCGTTTGCTCTTGTGAGGTGGAGTTTCGGCCCACAAACTAACACGTTGCAGCTTAAGGTTCTCTAGAGCAATCCTCCCGAAAAGGGTGCCCTGGGGCACAGCCTAATGGGAGTTGTAGTTCAGACATCTGGAGGCTGCCATGTTGGGAAGGACCCACTCTTGGGCCTGTTCCTCTGTCCCTATTAGGATAACAACTTTGCAGTTCTTATCGGTTGAGGTGGCTGCTTCTTAGACAGACCGTTCTGGATTTTCTAAGGATAGAAGGAACCAGATGTTCTCTCTTGAGTGACAAAGGCGTCCAGGATGCCTTGACATATGAACAGACAGCCTGTTAAATTGGCTTTTCCCCCCCTTAAGAAGCTAAGAGGTGCTCAACATGGATGCTTTTCATTAGATGGTGTTCCAAACGGATTCATCAAGAGAGGTCACCCTGACCTTTCTGGAAACCCCGTCATTTTCCTTTCTGGTACTAAGAGACAAGTAATGAACCCCAGAATGGGTGTGAGTGTGGGCAGTACTTCATTCTGCATTTCACTGATCTGACTGTTGCGAGAGGAATACAGAAAGGGGGGATGAGAGAATAATCTCTATTCTATTTAACACTGGTCAGTAAACAGCACTCGGAAGGTCACCAAGGAGCTAGATTCGGACCCTGACCATTCGTGTCTGAACTACGACGCAGGTTGCGTGGGGGTGGGTCTGCTAGTCCAGTGACGTAGATCTAGCGTGTGATTGGTGTCCAATGCTGTAATTGTGGACTTACTCAAAAACTCCTTAATAAAAAGGAACTCATTATTACCTACCCTGTTGGTTTTGTATCCCATTCTTCATCCCCTTTAGAAGCTCAAATCAGTCATCATCAAGATATACATGAGTTACTCCACTTTGTCCTAGACTCCACTTTTCCACCAATGGGGGGGGGATGATGATGACATTCCTAATCCTTCAGAGAGGCAACCTTATCATCCTCTCCCCTGAGGGCCCCGGAGTTTCTTGCGGTGGTCTGCTCTAGCATGGCCTCGAGCCCAGGAAACTTTAGATCTTCCTCTGAAGAGAAACCCTCCAGGAAAGAAATTTCCTTCTCTCTCTTTCCTACACTCAGGATAGGTTTCCATTATAGGTTGCCTTCCTAATGGCTTCTACTTTATTCCCCTTTGCCATCTCTCCTGACACCAACTTAAAGAGGGCATAACAAGACATTCTTGTAGCTACCTTAAGTTTTTCTTCTTCTTTCTTCATTCCAAACATCATCAAAGAATTAAACTCCAGTGAAACACCGAGGGAGGGGGGCTAATCAAGCCCGTTCCTCTGTCCTGTTGTGGAAATTCAGACAATTGAGATCCGTATTTTCTTCCTCCTCCGCCCCAACCCTGGCAACCAACAGTGACTTCCTAGCCCCTGGAATGCACGGCGGGAAGCTCATTGTCCTGGAGGGAAAGGTGAGAGTTAATGAGGGGTCTTATTTAATGATGGGGGTACACAAGAGCCCTCGCCAGCATCCACACTCAGCCAAACGAACGGAGGAGCCAAACCGTAAGTACTCAATCATTTAAGCTTTACTTCGACTGAGTAATATGGGCGGTTTATCCGTTTTTCATCTATCCAATACATTCTCCTCCTGAATGTTCCATCTTGGAAGAGAACCCCACCTGGTTTTGAAATATCTGCATTCAGAATTAATTTCATCTAAGCCACCTTTAACCTGTCATTCAGTAGCTTCAGATCTGCCCCTTCTAGTTTCACCTGTATTCAGACTGAATTGTGTGTGTGTGTGTGTGTTTTTTTATGCGAAGTGGTCTGCTTATACATCTCTCTATATATTTTAGAGAAAACATGAGTCCTTACCATCTCAAACAGGAAGAAATCTGCCAGTCTGGGTATGTTCTTCCAATACGAACTGCAAGAATATTCTCCCCCGTTTGCGCCCTCCGAATCAACAGTCAGAGCTGTTTTCGGTACCAGAGAACCGTGTCAAAGCTGCCTGAAATGTAGGTGTTAAAATTGAGGCATTGCTCAGAAGAAAGAAGTGACCACCCTAATCTAGCATGAGCGTGGTTGACGCCAGGGCTTGGGACATTACTGTTTTAGATGACAACTCCTGGGCAGATCTGGACGGGGACTCTGGATGTTGTTGTTCAAAAGAACCAACATTGTCAAACTCAGGTTGATACGCACCCGTTCAAACCTCCATTTCAAAGGCAAATTGGTTACTGTGGGTTTCTCTCATAGTCCTGTTTTTTTTTCCTTTAAAGCACAAGGTTTTCCCCCACTCCCTTTCTGAAGACGACAAAATTTGCAAATTTTGGTACCAAACGGTGGTAGATTTTTTTAAAAAATAAATACAACACATAAAAAAGAAAGCCTGATTCCTCAGCCCCCAGAATAACGGCTGGATGGCTGAATGGTTTAGAGGTTGAGAGTTTGATTCCCCTCTGGGTCTCCTTGACAGGGGCCAGACTTGATGACCTACAGGGTCCCTTCCAGCTCTGCAGTTCGATGATGATGATGATGATGAAATGCCTCTAGGGTTGAACCCACAAAAGTAGTTTGGGATTTCCGCCTTCTTCAGCCAATGGTAAAATTGTGGAAAAACCTCCACTGACCCTCCTTTGACCATACACCGAGCAGGATAACAATAGCACATTAAGAGCTGTTCAGGAGACATCGTCCTTGTTTTAAATGTTAATTTCAATAATGGAACTACCCTGCTGATGTGTCCCTGGGCACCATTCCTAACACTGGACAGATCCTCCATTTCACCTAGCACTGAAAAATGCAAATTAATCCATCAAGCAGCAGCTGCTTCTTTCCCTCCCTCTCCTATGCCACATGTCCAGCATTTATTACGCTGATGATATTTAAACATTTTTTGCCACCTCACTTTACCTGAGGTTTGCTCCATCCCCAAGAAATGGTTGGAAGGCTTATACATTTCACCCAACGCTTTTGATTTTGCTTTTCTTTCTAAATGTGATCTTATAATTACACAAAGAGAATTGAATTGCTGGAGAGTTCAGTGGTTTAGGTGTCCGGCTAGGAGCCAGAGCCCCCCCCAGGTCTCCTTGACAGGGGCTGGACTCCATGATCTTACAGGGCCCCTTTCAGCTCTACAATTCTAAGAGGATGATGAAGAAGAAGAAGAAGGAGAAACAAAAAAAAGAGGAAAAGAACAAGAAGAGTCCATGCCTAACCTGTTATTGTCACAAGGAGGCTGGCTACTTCAATGTCATCAGGAAGGTTTATCCACTCTGGTTTTGAGTCCGAAATTTAAACAAACTATCCCTGGCACTAAACTTACTTTGGGGTTTATTCCGAACATTAGAGGAGTCATCTAAACTAAAGTGCTGAACCTAGTTGGGGGCTAGGGATCAGTAGCTTGGACAGCTCCTGTAAAGTTCAAACCAAAACCCAAAGGGGATTGATCATCCCTGTAAAAACCATCCTTCTAAATTAATAGAAACTAATCATACATTCCTTCCTGCCCAATACCGACTCTCAGCCAGCAGATGTGAAATATTTCTTTTGCACGGTAAATGTTTGTCTTTACTATTCTCAGAGGAAAAAATCTTTATCTCTCTCTTTTTGCAAGAGAGAATGGGCATGCAAAAATCACACCCGTGCTGCCGATTAAATTCCAGGCCTCACGAATAAAGTATAAAAGTACACATAGGTCTGCAAGCATGTTTTCAAAATCCTTTGTATCTCTACCTAGCTTTTATAAACCTTAGGAAACACCCAGCCAGACAAAGATGAGGTTCTGCACTCTGGTTGGTTCAGACTAAAAGCCGGAGTCAAATCACTGCCCCTGTGCCATCAAAGGCAACAGAGGTAGAGCAGATTATCTGTGGGCGCCTCTCACTATTGGTGGAACTAAATTAACCGACTCACACTCACCCTTGATGGGAGTGAAACTTGCAACAAGAAGTCTGACCGGTGATCGGAGACGGCTGCACAGAACAAGGAGCAAAGTGAGAAAGCAAAGCGTGGCAAGCTGCAAAAGAGCACAGATTTAAAAGGCTTTCAGTGGGACCCCCGTATCTGCAGGAGTCCGTTCCAAGCCCCCTCCCTGCCAATGTTGAAAAACGCGGATTATAGCAAACACTATACACAGCGTGGTCTCTGGCTCTCTCTGGTGGGCAGTTCTGGTAACTTCACCTTGAGAAATATTTATTTCCGGGAAGTTTTCTTTTAATACGGTATTTTCAGACTGCAGGTATAAGTGAATCAGAGGATACTGATCCCATGAATATGGAGGCCCTTGGTAGTTGCAACAGATCTGCATGAGACTGGTGGGGAGTCCGGCCATCAGCCAGCCAGACTGCTGATCAATATATATTGCGATGCCCCGTTCCGGGAAAATGTTAAGAGGGCAGAAAGCAAGTTCAGGCCTTAGGAGGGCTACTGACACATCAACAAAAACACAGGCAAGAGAGGACACCGGTTTCCATAAAATTATATGGCTTGTTACTCAACAAAATAAATAGCTACCCCACAATAACATTCATTGTAATTACTAAACTGTGGGTGGCCGTCCTTCCCAGTCCTATTTAATGAAGCTGGGAATTGAACTTGTGACTTTTTACCTGCAAAGCGCTCTGCCAGTGAGTGATTAATACACCTTGCCCGAGGCAACTGATATACAAAATCTGAGAGCGAGATGGAGCAATAAAACCCAGGACTCCGTATCTATTTCTTGCAGCTTGGAAACGCTTTCCTTTGCCTGATGAGAGAATCTGGGGGCACACATTACCCACCTGCTACACCTTGAATCTTTGATTAAAAATTGGCAGGAGCGCAGTTAAAATGGCCCGCGGGCCTGATCCGGTAGGGGAACCTAGCTGCATGTCATCAGAGTAAAGCAAGGCACCCCCCCGTGCCTTTGACAGCACGGGGAGCCTCCCCTCCCCACCAGCCTCCTAAAACGGAGGGGAGGTTCAGGAAAACAAATTAATCATCATGGAGAGCGAGCTAGCGAGAAAGGGCTTCGTTTGGCAAGCCAGGTAGAGAGCAGTTCATTCCAGGCACAAATGGATGGCGCTATTCCATGGTTCGAAGATTTCCAAGTGTGTGTGTCTGTCTGTGTTATTTTTTGGAGGGAGGGTGAGGGTGTCCTTTTTGAGTCAAGCCCCTCATCTAATACACAGGATTTTTCAAATCGGCAATATCTTTTGCTCTCCTGCTGTAAAATTAATTCCCCTCTTTCGAACGGCAAAATTTGATCACCTCTTAAAATTCCGTTTATTTTCATCTCCCGGGATGACAGAGAGTGTAAGTGACATATTTATGGATCGCCGGGCGAAGCTTTCCTGCTGGCGATGCTCCACTGGGTAGCTTTTAAAAATATAAGCAACCTGTTAATAAATTACAATCATAATAAAGAGCATCACGGAAGAAGGTAAGCAGCCTGTGGCCCATGAAAAGCTTACCAACTACAGTTTCCATCACCTTTCGGAGCCCGCCCTGCTGACTAAGGGCTGATAGGTACTGCAGTCCAAGAAAAGTCACTTTCTCCTGTGCTGCACAAGAGGAACGAGTCCCGCTTTCATAGCAAAACCCAGTATTTTCCAGATTTCCTGATGTCCGGATCCTTTCGGTTTGCTATCCAGCTGCTGCTCACCGTAGATGACAGCCATCTTCACGATCCCAGATCTTGTTCCTCGTGGTTTGTTACTGGTTAGACCATTCGACAGGGCAGTCCATGTCAAAGAGGTCTGCCTTCTCTCAACCCTTCGAATGGAGAATTCTGCCTCCCAGAGGAACAGGATGGCTCAGGCCTTTAAGGCATCCGGCTGTGGACCCAGAGGTTGGGAGTTCGATTCCCCTATGGGCCTTCTTGGCTGGGACTGGACTGGATGATCTATAGGGTCCCTTCCAGCTCTGCAGCTCTAAGAGGATGATGCGAAAACATCCAAATTAGGGTTCAGTAATTTAGCTGGCTGGATTAGCTCAGTAGTGGTTTAGGCATCTGGCTGCAAAACCAGAGGTTGGGAGTTCGATTCCCCCCACAGGGCCTCCTTGACTGGGGATGGACCAGATTATCTTATAAGTTCCCTTTTTCCAGTTCTGCAGTGCTAAGGTTATTATTATTATAAAATAACCTTTCTTTCTTTTCTCCCTCTAGATGAAGGTTTCCTGCCCCTTCTCCTGTGTCCTCTTGCTGAGCTTTGGGGTCTGCTTCCCTCCGGAGCATGGAAAAGAGCTAAGCTCTCCCGGAGGAAAGTCTGGAGTGACCCAAGAGCAGCCCAGCCTGTTCCAGGCTAGCGAAACGCCCAAGGAATGGCGTTGCCTGCAAGACCTTTGCTCGCTCTTTCCCGCTGCCAAAAGGCCACCCAGCCTCGGGAAGGAGAAGGCAGCCCTCCGATCCCATTTCAGGAGGCAGCAAGGGGGGCAGGACCCTAAGAACGAGGCCATCAACTACCTGCCAGAGGAGGAAGAGGAGGGGGAGAAGCGAGCGGGGTCCCTGGGCAGCCTGGCGGAAGAGCTGAACGGCTACAACAGGAAGAAGGGTGGCTTCAGCTTTCGGTTTGGAAGGAGGAAGAAAACAGATGTTTGCTCCTGAAGACCTCTCTGGACCGATGGGAGGAACTGAGGTCCTTGGTTTGAATTGTATTCTGGGCCACATCCCCAGGAAATCCAGTCGTCCCACCTTGATTTCTTCCTCCACCTTCGGTGTTTCCAGCTGGCCTCTTCTCTCTGTCTTTCTTCTTTGAATCCATCCCCATTCCCCAAATGGCCCAGTCTCTCCATCACTAAAAAGGGCCAAATGTGTGCTGCTCTCTGGGCAGTTTACAATTTCATTATGCAGGCTACCCCTATAATGCTTTCCCTCGGCAGAAATCGCTTGAGCTGAGTGCCTCATGACACAAAATCAGTGGGTTCTATACACACACACACACACACATTTTCTGAGGGAAGCGGGACCCCCATCTCTGCAAGAGATTGCTTCCAAGCCCTCCGCAGATACTGAAAACCGCAGATAACAGCAAACACTATAAATTACATGGTAAAAGGGGGGATCCAGAAAAAATATATTTTTCACCATGTAAGAACTGGCTCCCTCTAGTGGCCTGTTCTGTGAAATAAATAATGTAAAAATATATTTCTAAGTGTTTTTTTCCTAATATTTTCACACTGCGGATAAGTTAAACTGCATATACCAATTCCACAGATATAGGGGTCCTATTGTATGGAGAACCTCAGTATTCTGGGGATGCAGGGGTCCTCAATGCAAAAAAAAATTCACACACTTTTCCTATTGTGCAAAGTTTTTTGCAAGAGCCCACCCACTACTTTGTACGCTTTCCCTAAAGATGTTTTCTGTGCCAATTGAAAAAAAAAATTAGCAGCCCCCCTTCTTTCTTTCTTTCTTTCTTTCTTTCTTTCTTTTTGAGATTGCAAGATTCTGAAAAGGGTAGATTTTGGTACATAATGGTTTTCTGGTTCAGGCCCAATAATGAGTTCATAAGAAAACACTGGATCTAACAAAATTTCTCCTACATATTTCTGTGAAAAATGAAAAATGTGACCTAAAGCACCGGTTCTTTGTGTTTTCATTTCCACCTTGATGTCCATGAATGAGAGCAGAAGCATTATGTAGGGAGCAGGGACATTATTCTTCTGTGTGTCCTATAGAGAGCAGCCTTCTCCTTGAAAGGGTGTCTCATCCATATGTGGTTTCCTAAGAAAAAAAGATCAGGGGCCTTGAACTTGCCCAGCCGCAATTAACACAGAGCTGCAGGTCCAGATCTCACCTGGTCTCTCTGGGCAAAACTCAGTTTTGTTTCCCAATTATAACCATAAACTCTGTTACAAGACAGAACCAAGGCAAGCCGCAAAGGAGTTGAATGGAACGAGAGGTAGATAGAAAGCTCGCCCAGTTGCGGTTTCCCCCCTTTTTCTTTTCAAGATCTACTTACAGACTTCTAGTCTTAGGCTCCCTTCCTTCATGCTCAAGCTTCCTCCCTGCTTTGTCTCATTCCTCCATTTTGATTGGAAAGAAGCAGACCTGTAGACGTGGAAGCCAGCTCTAGGGACTTTTGTAAACAGGAGCCCTGTCCTCACGCATGAAGCTGAATTTTCTGAGTTAACGGCAAATGACATCCTATCCTAACATCTCTCCATTTCCTCCTTATTACCAAGCCTCCAGACTGGAGTGTTTCCACTCTATAGTTAAAAGCCCTGCTCAAGATTATAGTACCCTATTGGGCATACACACCAAAGAGGCCTAATTGCCCTCTTCGGCAGGAAAAGCTGGTTGAAACGGGCACTCGCCCATCTGCTCCCTGGGCGTTCCAAGCCCTTAAAAGCAAGGGTGGGGTGGGGAGTGGTCAGCCCAGGATTCCCAGTTCGTGGGGCTCCAACCATTCTGAGTAACTCCTCTGCCATCACGATGGGGATGGGCAAGAGTGGGCGAAGGCCATCATCCTCCTCCTCCTCCCTCAGGAGCAGAAGGCGGGCAGGCAGAACCATCCTCAAAGCGTCGCCCATCACCACGAGACCTGGCAGCTCGCAGACTCTGGAAAGTTGTGGGTCCTTCTGGATCCCTCCTGGATGCCATCCCCCATGTTCCGACGGAACACTCCAAAGGACCGGAGAAGGGAGCGAGATCAGAGAGGCAGGCTTTCCGGAACGAAGGATGCTGACTTTTATTAAGTAAAATGAATTTTGAAGTCAATTTAAAATTTCAGAACCTTGGAGCTGCCATCGTCCTCTTTCCCTGCCCCCCACCAAGTAACCTGCCAGAGATATGGGTGCTTCAGATTTCCAGATGGTGGAAAGAAGGTCATCCTCGGTACAACTTAAGAGCAAGGATAGATCTTTCCACATGTCACTGGGTTTCAAGTCCCAGTCTGTCTCACCTTACAGAAACATCTGGACAGCAGCACTTTGCCCACCCCTTGCCTTACATCAGTGTCAACCAAAATATGCAGTTTGCACGTCTCTCTCTCCCCCCCCCCCCCCCGCTTAAAAAGAAGCAAACCTTCTGCCTGCGGGCAGAATCCAGCCTTCAAACGGCCTGAAATCTGGCTACAGAGGGTCTAGAAAAGTTGGATTTTTTTCCCCTGTTGGAACTGAAGGAATTCTAAAAGATGTCAGGGAATGAACTGTATCAAGGAACAAAAGTCTAAGCAAAGAAATTGCCTAGAACAAGACAGCGGCAGTCTGTGAACGAAGATCTAAGCAGAATAGTCTGAGACACTTTAGCTTCTCTCAAAAACCTTGTTAGGGAGAGTCTTCTCTCTCTCTCACATACACACACATATGCAAACCAATGTATGCATCCTTGCTCAAACACAGCTGACTGAGCCACAGATCTCGCAAACTCAGCAGCTCCCGTAGATTGCAAGACGGGCTCTGGGATCTAATTAAGGAGAGAGGGCCTTTTATTAAATGTTATTAAATTTCTCACAAGCACTAAAGCGACTGACAATTTTGCCGTGCATCCCGCACCCATTGTGCCGTGCTGTCGGGTTGCATCTCCTTTTCAAACACAAAAGGGGATTCAAGGCTAGCCTTCAAATCCTTTCAGGTTTAAGGAAACCCACTGCAACGGTTTGATGTGTGGAAGGAAGGAGTTGATGATAGATAAGAGGAAGGAAGGAAGGAAGGAGCTGATGATGGATAAGAGGAAGGAAGTCCATGTGCACATTGTGTGGATTAGGGTTCCGATTGGTTCAGTGCTACAACTCCCAGAATCCCTCTGCCACCATCTAGGGGATTTGGGAAAGTTTAATTAAAAGCTGGCTGGATAGCTCAATGGTTTAGATTGTGGAGCCAGAGGTTGGGAGTTTGATTCCCCCACCAGGCCTCCTGGGAGAACATCCAGCCTGGGTAGCCTTGGGCAAGCTGTACAGTCCCAAGGATGACCCCCAGAGGGAAAAAAATGGTCAACCACTTCTGAGTCTTCTCTTCCTAGGAAACCCTGGAAAATGTTGGCATAAGTCAGAGTTGACTTGGTGGAACGCTATTATTATTATTATAATGGCGCAAAACCTGCCGGTTGCACATCGCGCTTCTGCCAGGTTCGGATGCCTTCCCTGAGCCAGTCTTGAAGGATTCAGACACAACCCTACAACATTCCTACAAGGACATACTGTATATATATTCCCCCAAAGACCCAGCCGTAGAATTGCACAGCACCTACACAGATTTGAATTTATATACTTCCCATTGACTTTGGAGGCTCCAGCTTTAACTGCCTGACTTCACGTGGTTCCATAAAACAAAGATAATTAATAAAATTATGGTGTTTCCTCTCGCGGGGCTGTCCTCCCTATGGGTTTGCTGATGCGCCAAATCAAGACTTTGTGCTGCGAGATGAGAGGCGATCCACTTACATCTCTTTATGTCTTTTTAAAGCTCTCCTTTTTCATTACTGCCGGTCTTGTCATCGTGTCATTACTGTATTCTGCGGGCAGACAGCAAGCAAGACAGACAGATATTAAGGTGTGCTAAGCAAAGCATCAACGTCTTTAAAAGAATTTGGTTTAAACCCTGCATGTCTCAGACATGTTGTCTTCCCCCTCAGCATTTAAATTTATGCAACCTCCCTGGTTCGTCTCTCCCACTCCCACTTGTTATCCTGGCAGTAGTCTTTTCAAGAACTGCACGTACAGAATCAGTGGGCTGTGGGATGCATATGGATCAACAGGGTCTTATCCTGTATCCGTATCAGAGCCCAGTAGTGTCAGAGTACGTACTCCCCCAGGTTGGCATCAGCAGCTGTTTGGCACTGCCCAGCCCTTACACCTACCCTGCCACTGCCTTTGATAAGAACGTTTCTATTGGACTCGTCCGACTTCTGGCGGAACTCAATAGGCTTTGCAGGCGTAATTCACAAAACCTGCCAAACCTATTTGACCGGAGGGCCGAATGGAACAAAATAAGCGTTCCCTTCTCTTAGGTTCAGGGCTGGATCTATATGAAAGGTAAACAAGCTCCAGCTTCTGTCATTTGTGGTCTATATCCCTCATTTTATAAAAATAGTAATAATGCTGTTTAAAACTTCACGTAGCTTAAGGCCTCAGCATACCTGGGACAAATGAAATCTCTCTTTCATTGACATTCTCAAATACTTTCACTTGGCTCTGGTGTTATATTATTCTGCAGTTAAAAGAAGATCAGAGCGTCAACCTCGAAATTCTATTCTCTATTTTTTTTAAAAAAAATCTTTACGGTACTTACTGTTATCAATTGAAGTTAAGTGTATCTGGGGAATGCCATCAGACACCTCTCTAGAGAGATCAAAACTGCTTTGATAATAGAACTGGGGAAGATTTGGGGGGGGGAATGATGGCTAGAATACTAATAAAAAGAGTTTTTTTTAAATTAACAAAGCGAGAGTCAGAGAAAGACAGATAAAACCATCCTAGTCACTGCAAACAGGCCATACCACATACTACAATAGTATGCATAAAAAACGTCAAGTAAAAGATGTTAGAGGAGAATTCTGTCAGTTTCAACAGTAGGGTTTTTTTTTCACTGCAAAAACCTATCTGTTGCAAGGGAAAAAAACTGTGTCTTGCCAGGAGAATTCACACTTTTTCAAGGTTTATGGAGCATTCTGGAGAACAAGGTGTGTGCAGTCTAAAGTGCAAATGGCTAAAATATGTATAAGTGTGCAGAACTATATTTACTCCATGGGAGAAAATGACTGGAAATGTGGAAATAAATGTGTATGACAGGTAGAACACATATGTAACTGTGCACACTAAGAAAATGTAATAAATATGTGCAAATCTGAAATGCAGGAACTAAAAACAAACGCACAGCCTACTGGGAAATAAGGGCAGAAAGCAGACATGGGTGCAACCAAGGAAAACACAGTGGAATCAAAGTTCTGCAATACCCAGATTACATTCAGCCGGGGGGAAATGCACCCCACGATCCCCCTCATTTAATAGCTTTCAACCCACACCCACCCATTCGGACAACAGCTCTTCTGAAAAAAACAAACAACAAATGGAACTTAACATTTTGATGGGTTACACAATTTTGGAAAAATGATGTGCGGGGCCCAGAGGTGTCTGAGGGAAGAGGAAAACGGGGCAGACCTGGCTGCCGATTAACGTTCTCCGCCTGCCCCATCATCCCCCTCCGAGAGGCAAGCAAGCCTCAAACCACCCTTCATGACAGCTGGGAATGAGGGGCAGCATTTTCGGATTTGGTGGGGTTAAAAAGATGTGATGCCTAGGCTGAATCTCCAGTTCAAGACAGGCCATGGTTTTAAGACTCCAGTCCTGGATGGTAAGAGAAGCCGCTCTGGGTTTGAGTCCCAATTTTGAAGGAGCCGCCCCAGGTGTTGAACCTGTTCCAGGGGACAGAGTTTTAGTATTCTGGACAGATCCTGCCCAAGCCTGAACTAAAACCCTAAGCAGAGCCACCAGCCTGCAAAATCAGACTCGGCAGGTTATCGGAGTCACCCGAAGGCCTTTGTCCTCCTGATAACTTCCACGAGGGTGAAAGAAAGAAAGAAAACATGTTTTCTCTGCCTGCTTTTTTTGCAAAGCAGACCCGCTTCCAAGAAGGGGCCCTTGGGCCAAAAGCAGGTGGATTCCCAGAACGCCGAGGCCAGGCCATTGGGATCTTGTTCAAATCCGCTCTTCACTTCTGGTTGCATTCCATTCCGCCGAAGGCCTCCATTTTGGAGAACATCTCTGTACTTGGTTTGATTACAAGGCGAAGCTGCCGAGAGCCTTTATTGACGTTACTATGGAAACAGATCTCTCCTTTCATCCCACCACCCTGCCCTTAAGTGTTCAAATCCTTAATAAATATTCACCCTGCCAATTTTCCATCGAGCGGCCGTGAATGGACAATGTTTGCAAACTGCAAGGGGATTGAAGCTGGGCCCACTAATTGGAGGACTTGGAAAGCGATGCTGATTTCTCTTAACTAAGAGAGAGAGAGAAATCGCAAAGCAAACTGGTTCCGATCATTCTTCTGAGTGCCGTCATACCCAATTAGGAGGACCTGGGAGTGGGGATTCTCCGAAATAGATGCAAAAACCTCCAGATTAGTTTGGATCCATGATTTCCCAACCAGTAAACAGATTTTGATGGCTGCCACAGTTACTGTTCCTAAGTTTCCTAAAATTCAGGTCCTGAGTTAGGTATCTAAGAGGCACACCAAGCAAGCCACTGAGGACACAAGTTGATGTTGTTATTTTGGAAGCCTGCTCAATGAACTCACAGTTATTGCAAAATTATTGCCCTTTTTGGGAAGCTTTCCCCATTTTTTCACTTCCTTTATAATACAAGAAGAACCTTGCTGAGTAAGTCCGGAGAGGTCTCTGGTCTAATGTGTTCTGTTCACGCAGTCGCCCAACCACTTGCTGACGGAGAGCCGCCCGTTGGGAATGTCACGGTTGCCGCACCAACCAGCAGGTAAAGCCATACTGCGTCTAATACTAGAGATGACACTCGGGCAACGCGAACAAGTGGCCACTATCAGCCCTGGTTCCTTTTCTAAAACTGCTGAGCTGGGCAACTGTCATGACCTCTTGAGGCAAGTGAATTCCAGGGGTTAGCCAAGAGACACGTTTTCAGTCTGGGATTCCGCAACAGACCACAATGTCTCCTCGCTCAAAATGCTGCAAGGCGTTCCGGTTGCCATAAGCAGGAGGGCCGTCCTCAATTCATTTCAGGGTCACTTCTGGTAGAAGTAGGGTGCTTCGCTTCTTTTTTTAAAATCTCACATGACGTTCCTTGGATACTTCTTGTTCTCTCCGCACTCAAATGCGATGCCTATCATTCTCCTTCACTTTTCTTTCTTCCCATCCCTTCCTTGGCCATGTGATCTTCCTCCCTTGCCCTCTGAGGCACCTGTTTTATCCTATCTTTTTTTTAAAAAAAAGCCGCATGGTGGTATAGCGCTAATCAGACAATAAGCTTTTGGCTGGGCTACTCTCAGGGCTGATATCACTGCATACAGAAAGCACTAGAGCGCTAAATCCCACTCTGACCAGTGCAAAATGGTTCGAATTTTTTAGAAACTTGATTTTGAGACTGATGGAAAGATGTGCGAACTCAAGAAAAGAAACCAATTGAGAAAAATGTTGGGAATGTCGAGAAAATGTCTGTGAAGGTAAGTAAGTGCATAACTCAGTCCTGAAGGTGAAAAAAAATGTTGTCTGGAAGAGCCCTATGTAGATGTGTTTGCATGCTACTCTTGTTTGCATTTATAGCTAATGGCATTTTGGACATATAAAACCCACACAAAAACACACATCTGTGAGACTCATAGATGCATTTCTGAGGGTACTGTATATAGTGTGCTTTGTTCTCAGGACAAGCTGGGAGACTACAAAATGAGCAATTTCAGTGGGAATCCCAAACCTACACAAAACTCCCTTCTGCTCTCCTGCCCACACATATTAAATGACCGTGTGTGTGTTTCCAATGTGGAAACTTAATTTTTTAAAAAAATTTAACCTATATTTCATAGGACTTCATAATTTTAAATTGTGCAACTCTGCGATACAGGTTAAGAAAGAATGTTTTCCAGCAAAGAGCTGCAGGTATTTCCTCTCTCAAGCTGCATCTAAAGGGCAGGCTGGCATTAAAGACTGGCCTGACCAGTAAACATCACCATTTCACCCATCACGCAGCTAAACAAAAAACATCTACGTACTTCTCTTGCCCGTCCTCGGGCTCCTGCATGTTCAGGATCAACTACTCTGAAAATTGGAGCAATCAAACTGTGAAAAGCAGTGATCTGTTAAATCAATTCCCACTATATTAAGCTAGGTTTAGTCGTCCACCCAGCCGCCCTGGGCTGGATCTCCACCATGCCCTTACTGCCATTGGGGCCCATTCGATTAGCTATGCGGACTTGTGTCCTGATGAAAGATGTAACGAACACTCACGATGTTCCGCGCTCTCCTGAGACATCGTTGGAAAAATGGGAAACTGCTCTGAGATTTTGTTTCCTGTCCTACAAAAGAGTGAAAAGGCTTAGCACATTTTTTTTTCAACTAGGAAAAAAGGCTTGCAAGAACCCCACCCCGCTTCCTGTTCAAAACATCTTGCATTTTTGCATGAAACCTTCTGTGTTGTGTGTGAGAACTCAAGGTTCCTGTGCCAAAATGCAGAAATGGCACAGAAAGCTTTTGAAATTTCAGCCAAGAAAAAACAACTTTTGTCGTTTTTCACTGTCGCCCGCAAGGACAAAACAAAGATCCCTGACTCAGTCCAGCCAAAGGGAGAAAAAAATCCCAGACCGCTCAGCGTTCCATGCAAGGCTAAGGACTGCACTGCACATGGAAATCTCAAACCATCTCACAGAGAAACAGATGCTGCTCAGAAAAATCCCCACCTTGCCTGCCTGCCAGAGGAAACAAAAGCAAGGCTTGCTGTCAGCTGTTTACAAGCCTTTTATTCCTGAGACTGAACGCTTAAATCATTTCCAGCACGTGAGCTCTCAAAAGGGGCAACGGCACCAAGCAGGCGGCTACGTTCTCTTGATTTAGCAGGGCAGACAGGAGGGAACCCTCAAAGACAGAACTTTTTTTTTCAGAAAGGCAGCCGTAGAACATAATAACCTGAGGATGGTAGAGCTGGAAAGGAGCCTATAAGATCACTGAAACCATCAAGGAGGGCCAGTGGGGAACTGAACCCCCAACCTCTGGCTCTGTAGCCAGAGACCTACACCCACGGAGCTCTCCATGACTTAACCATGACATAAACCTCCACATCCTAGCTGTGGGATGGCCAGTCTCCTTCCTCTAATTAAGGAAACAAGCAATTTAATGGTGCTTGTTCACTGGGTGTGCACTGAGCTTATTACAATCTGTCTCAGGGTAAGAACGTAGGAAGGTACCTTATTCCGAATCCAGCAGTGGTCTGCGTAGCCCACTATCGCCTGATTGACACAAGATTTCATAAAGGGCATCTTATTAACTAGAAATGCCGAGGCGTGTGGTCTGCCACTGAGCTACACCAACTGCCCTTAAACTTATTTTGTTGCCTAACTTAGGGCATCAAAGGAGGTCATTCCCCCAAACCAGCTGGCTTTTGGGCCCTTTTTGGGGGCTGCACTCTTGGAAAGGAATGGGCTCACCTTGACCTGTCCCTCCCCCCAGCAGCACCCCCCTCAAAGCAAGATGTTTCAAATACTGGTTTGCGTGGCATTGCCGGCTTCCATTCTTTCGACATGGAATCCTAGAGTCATGGAGCTGGAAGGGGGCCTCTGAGGCCATCCAGTCCCCATGGTTCCAGCTTTTGGGCGGTTTCCCCCCCCTGCTATTCAGCCTCACTCTGGCTTCCTGTCGCTGGAGCCCATCGTCACCTGTCCTGCCTTCCGGGATGGAGCTTAAACAGCTACAGAAAAGCAACAGGGAACACTGGATGCTGCCATCCTTGTAGCAAGAAACCTAGGGGAGAACGAATGCGCTAACGAGGTCTATAAATTAGCTTTCCAAAGAACGAAGAGAAAGCAAATGTTATAATCCTTCATGTATTACAGACAGTGGTCTGATTTTCCCTTGAAGGCCCTCCAGCACTGGGGCACTCACCACCTCCTGTGTTCGTGGGTGCCGTTGTCGTACTGCTCTATCAGTTGAGAAGTCCCCCCCCCCCGCTATTCAGCCTCAATCTGGCTTCCTGTCGCTGGAGCCCATCGTCACCTGTCCTGCCTTCCGGGATGGAGCTTAAACAGCTACAGAAAAGCAACAGGGAACACTGGATGCTGCCATCCTTGTAGCAAGAAACCTAGGGGAGAACGAATGCGCTAACGAGGTCTATAAATTAGCTTTCCAAAGAACGAAGAGAAAGCAAATGTTATAATCCTTCATGTATTGTACTGTGGTCGTCTGTTTACTCCACTGTGCCGTTTCATCCCTTCTTGGCTCTGAATTCCAGATAAAAGCCGCCTCTGTGTTGTCCCTGCCTCTGGATTTGCTCCCAGTTTGGCTGCAAATCCACACATCCATCGCCATGTATACAGCTGCTGGATTCAATACTGATAATATATCGAGGTGTCTACATTGGAGAGAACATGTATTTGACAGAAATGTTCATTTTTTTTTCCTGGGACATCAATTTATTTAAAAAACACTAAAGAGGAGAAATCTGGAATTATTTAGACAAACCAAATGAACACACAAAAGTCTGAGAGAGAGAGAGAGATTAAAAAGTCAAGCAGAAAGAGACAGGGGGAAGGGCGCAATTGGCCCGATCCAATAAATCACAAAGAAGGGACAGAAGACCTGCAGATATTACAAAAGTGAAAGGAGAGGCACAGCTATTTACACACCGGAAAACAAAACAAAAGGTCTACAAAAGCCATGTGTAATACTGAAATATAAATGTATACTATAGTGGCAACAATATGATGATCCACAAAATATCGGTACCCTCTGAAAACAGTACAGTCCGACGGGAGAAGGGGCTGTTTTGCTTTTCGGTGCAAAACGGGCATGTTTTCAAAAGGCAGCCTACGGTCATGCTTTTATTTGCATGTTTAACTTCTCCTAGGAGAAGTTACTGGCAGTTTGGCACAGGTGTGTGTGTGTGTGTGTGTGTGAGAGAGAGAGAGAGAGAGAGGGCAGGGGGAGGTAACAGGTTAGGAAGGTCATATCTGAGTTTGTCTAAGGGAGAAGTTTAATTAAAAGTGGTTAGTGGTGAAGACACACAGAAAGGATTGCCACAATGCTCAGGTGGGAAGAGGAAGCTGACCACTCTTTAATTTTTCATGCCTGATTAGCTAGGGCAAAGGAAAGTGAACCGCACAAGTAATAAGAGACTGTAGTGTTAAGTCATTCAGGAGCTTGGTCCACTACTGCCTCGTGAACAATTCTGTTAGAAATTATTGGATAGAGGGTCAGGCCTTTTGGGGTAGTGGTTGACCCGCTAGAGAAACCGGGCAATTATTTAGTGGCCGTGACCTCCAGAGGTTGCAGGAGATCAGACCCGATCTACCCCTGCCAGTCCAGCCAAAGGGCTGGGCTGAGAGGACCGTCAGTCAGTCAACATCAGGGGGGCCACCTGCCCCCCCACACAATCTCTTTGCTAAATGAACCACTGCTTCTCTTTACAAGCAGCGGCTCTGAGGTTTTAATCTAAAAAGCTGGCCGTCTTCTTTCTGAGCAGCATATTAATCCTCTCCACCTCCATAAATTTTGGGAAATCTTGACATTAATAGACAGAGTGGTTGTCTTCTTCAAGCCAAAGGAATTTATGAGGAGAGGAGGTTTTGAGCGGGGGGGGGAAGGCGAGAATAATTCTGCACCCCTTTCTAGCCATCGAAGGTATGATCGTCAAAGCTCACCAACCTCTGGCCCACTTCCAAATTTAGGACTCCGATCCTGGGGAGAGAAAAATCGAGGTTAACAGGGAGCGCATGCAACATCTGTAGAGGGGAAGGAGAACCCGTCTGGCCGACAGGAGCAGACAAAAGGAAGGAAGCCCAGGGAGTTCCCTCCCCACAGAAGTGGCCGAAACGGCTGCACCAGCTTCTCCTGGTAAAGCGCACTCCGAAAGTGACAAAACATTAATAAGATGAGAAATGAGGCAGGTTCAAGTGTTGTGAGATCACGTTTCCTCATGGAAGGAAGCCGAAGCCCTCCACAGATTCAGAAGGTTTTGAGGATGTGTGAGGCAGGGCAGGGGAACACAGAGAAAAGGAAGATGGAGGAGGAGGAGGAGGAGGAGGCCAAACCTCTCAAGGCTTCACAAACCTCGGTGGCCTAGAGTGGAACAGCTGGGAATGTACGCACCCAACACACACACACACATGGGGCAACCCTGGAAAGAAGCAGCCATCTGTGGATTCTCTAAGGCCCCTGAAAGGGCAGCTCAGTGTGAAACAGGTGGAGATCTGAAAGATTGCAACGTTCCTGGTTTCCCATTCAACTGAATGGGAGACTCACTCAACGCGGCTCCTGTTTATTTCAACGGGATCTGCAATGGCACAAGGTCCCAGCAGGACACACGGCTTCGAGAAGTCACTTTTTTCGGGAATGACACCCCCCCCTCAGATGACACGGCCAAGGTACCGGCAACTGGAAACTTTTCCAAATTGTGGCAAGCCGAACCCGAGACAGGGGGGGGTCCGTGTTTGCTTCCATGCCTCGGGCACTGAAATGTCTCCAGCTGACCTCGAGTCCCGCATCCGTGACGAACCCTGCGGCCACAAGGCCCACCGTCTGCTGGTTCCAGACCTCGGGCGGCTTCTGCTACCTCTGGACGATGTCGCTGATCTCTTTCACAGAACTGAGCAGCTTGCTAAAGTCTTGGGTGGCGGCAGGGCCACCGGCGGCCGTGGCCGGGCAAATCTGGAGTTCTCGGAGGTTGTTCTCCAGTTTGTTGATGGCCTCCCGGAAGGCAAATTTGTTCCGCATCTGTTGGATGGAGTCCACATAGCTGACGCAGAAGGTGTAGAGATTCTTGCCGGCTTCCAGGACGGCGCTGTGGCTGGCCATTTGCTCCGAGTTCTTGCTGATGGCCGTCCGCAGGGCCTCGGAACTCTCCAGGACCGTCCCCTTGGTGACCATGCCGCTGGCGATCTTCTCGGGGGGCTGGCGGGTCTTCCGGAGGGAGACGCGGGTGGAAATGAGGGGGATGAAGGCCGTGGAGACCGGCTGGTCCACATTTGGGGCGGACGAGGCGGCAGGGGCAGAAAAGGGGGAGGCAGGAGACGAGGACAGCAGTTTTGCAGAGGGTAGGGGCTTTGGCGCAGAAGAGAGGGTTGGCTTTTTCCCTCCATCCATTAAGAGGACGGGCTTGGGGGTCTCGACGCTGGCCGAGTCTGTAGCCTGAGCCGGCTGCTTTCCCTTTCCTGTGGACCCCTCGGGCCCATCGTGGATGGGAGCAGCGCCCCCTTTGCTGTTTTTACTGACGGAAGAGGTCAAGGCCAGTGGAGGTGGGGGGGCTGGCTTCAGCTTGGAGAGTTTGCCTTTCTCCTTCTCCGACGTTTGCTTGTTCTTCCTCAGGCGTGGCTCTTCGCCCGAAGCCTTCCCGCCTCCCGTGAACATGCCAACGCCAGCTTTGGTGGGCGGTCCCTGTTCTGCGGCCACCCCACCTCCTAAGGCACTGGGTTTCACGGATTCCTCTTTGTGGCAGAGGCCGACAGCGGGAGAGACGAAGGGCTGCCTCCGGCCGAGTCTTGGCGTCAGGGTGGGCGGGCTGGAGCCTGGGCTAGGTTCGGTGTCCTTGAACGCCTCCTCGGGTGTCTCGTCGCTCTTCTTGAGCAGACGCGGTGGCGGAGTCACCGTCCCCCTGACGACCGGGTCGGCCTTGGCCTCGTTGGCCCGCTTCCTGGGCAGAGCGGGCTTTTCGCTTCTGTGTCCGCCAAACGTGGAGGAATCGAACTGGCGCCCTGCGGACTGGAGGTTCCGAGGGAGGGTCACCGATTTCCACTCCGTGTCCTTGGCCCCGTGAGGCATACAAGAGGCCGAGCACGACCGCAGGAAGCGCTTACTGGAGGAGCTGGAATTGCCTTCTTCTTCACTGGCTTCCATCCGGCTACTGACTGGAGGGCCAGTTTTCTTCCAGATGTGGGGGGACAGGATGCCCGAATTCCCTGCCACTGTCCCGTTGGCTACACCCGTCTCATTGCTGGGATTCTGGAGCCTGGCCCGGTCTTCGCAGTCCGCAGGGTGTGTGATCGTGACGCCAGCGACGCCCCCTTTTGTTTCCTCCTCGGGGGGCCCTCCCTTGCGCTCGGAATGACTGTCCACTTCCCGGAAGGAGCTGCTGCGTTTGGGTGGGGTGGGGGCCATTTTCTTCTTCTTCTTGATCAGGGCACTGAAAAGATTCGGCTTTTTGTCTTTCAGGAGCAGGCGATCGTCTTCGTTCAAGCCGCTGTCGGTGGCTACCCTTTCCTTCCTCGGCAGCAAGGGAGAAACAGCTGGCTCGTGCTCGGTGGACTCTGCAGATGGGGGGGGGGGGGGGGGGG